TTATTTTTTTGTCACTGAGGAATGGGAAGCTTTCATTTGCCATAAGGCAAGTTTCCCTTTTAAACCTTCCTTGGTCAAGGAAGTCAAACATGTAGATTTTTAAATTAAAAACCTATTAGTTTTGCGTTTTTCTTCCTGTGAATTTATAAGGAAGCTCTGCAACATGGATATTTTAATACAAATCTGTGCTTTGTCTGAATTCTACCGCAGAAACAATAGCAACAAGATTACAGCATTACAAATGCTGAGAAACTCTCTGTTTGGAGAGGAGAAGCAAGGCACAAGCCGTCGTGAGCGCTTGTTTCCCCGGAGTCGCAAGATAAGCCGCTACTCCAGACAATGGCAAAACATTTGTTCCCAAGACCTCTTTTGTCTCCAACTTTGCAAACGCTAGGTGAGCGCATGTTAGTTAGATGAGGTGGAAATTGTGTCTAGAACGGAATATAAATTTTAAAATTAATAACTTGTCAGTACTTCCCTGAATAAATGTGTATGCGAGCGCTTACGAAAAAGGTGGTTTTCAGTTAAAGGTGCTCATGTCTCACTACCTGCGATATCCTCGTGCAATATGAAGGAAGAATATGTGATGCTTGAACCTTAAGATGCATCCTGATCTCTCGTGGGTGGACTGCACGGGCTGGAGTTTGCTTCTGCATGGCCTGCTGTGCAGTGTGTGCTCAAGGGAAGGGCAACACAAGGGGACTAAAATACAAACTACCTATAAGTGTGAGTCACGTTAAGTAGAAATCCCTAGGTACTGTGTTTCAGTGGTTATGACTGAAATAATAGCAGTTCCATGTGAGTGGGAGATGCCGCGCTCGCTTCCTCTGCTCTCCCCTTGCCGCCTTTTCATCCAACGTGCTGCTTTTGAGAAAGATTGAAGCTGCTTAGGTAAGTTTTCTTGAAGATAGTTTTTTTTGTACGTAGCATAGTGTCTAAGAAAGCCAGTGCAGTACAGTCATTAAAAATATATGATGAGGATACTGCCGTTTGGGTTGTTGTCGGGGCCGAGTGCAGGACGTGCCGCGGGGCGGGTGCTCCCTCGTTAGCGCTCATGGGGCGCAGGAGCAGCGCACGCAGCAGCTCCGCAAAGGTTCAGGTCAGGTTTGCTCCGGTAGGTTGGAAATGACTTGCTAACAACGTAAAATGAACTCTGTTTTTGTTGGCATTGGAGGATTTGTTCTGCAATGTATTTTCCTTTTTTCTTTTTCTTTGCCTTCCTTTTTCTCGATGAGTTATTTACCTTAGGGAGGGACAGAGATCAAGGTCAGGGAAGGGCCCTCGTCACAACCTTAGCGCCAGCACGGATCCATGCGCTAATGGTAAGATGATCAGATAAGCACTCGAAACAAGATCAATTTGCAGTTTCCTCACTGCATCCTAAGTGTTGTAAGTAGGTGACCCAACATTGACCTTTTTTTTTTGTTTGTTTAGAATTGTTAGAATTACTTGTTTCAGCTAGTAACTTATTGTTAGTATTTTTTAATCTATGAAACATAGATTAAATATGAACAGGAGTTATGGTCCTTTGGAGATACTGAACTAACAGGTAGCTATGTAAGGTTTGGAGGGTAAGAAAGGGCATAATGAATTACTGGAATCTCGGCAACTGGTTCAGAGAAAGTGTTCTGTGAAGTTTTACTGCCTGCACAAGTCAGTGCTGGATGCAAACTGCAGTATTTTAATTTAAGGAGTTCTTAAATGTATACCGAATATAGGTTCAGTCTCTATAACCTTATCTGCTGCGCCAGAATTGACTTTTTCCTATCTTTTATTTTAGCTTGCTGGTATCCAGGGCTCAGATAAACAGGCACACTTTGATACCATCCAGTTAATGTCTGTCTTGGGTATCACAGTGAAAACTTGGTGTGTGGCTCTTCTTTGGAAACTAAGCCGGTTTCCTAAATCCTATGATGTTTTCCTGGCCATTTAAATCTGGAAACAAACTATTTCAAAATTGTAAGTCTTTTTGCTGTTACTGAAGGTAAGCAGTCATGGGTTGGGCTGAGGCTCACGAGATGCTTTAAATAAAGGCGGTGAGTTCTTTCCCTGTTGCTGCTGTACTGTGAAGGATTTCAGGGTGGTCCTGAGGACTTTTCCTAGTGCTTTGGCTGGGAGCAGAGGCTGTGGAGCGGGAAGGCGGGAGGCTCCGGGGCCGGCTGGAGCGCGGGGTCCCTGGTGCTGCCCTAGTGCTCCCGCAGTGCCGCCGCCGCAGAGCCAGTTGGGAGGAGATGGGTCGTGTTCTGCAAGGCTCTTCCTGCGGAATTGTTTCCTTTCTGCACTTAGTGCTATTTATTGCTCCCTTCCCTAATGTCTTTTAATTCCACATCTGCCATTAGATAAAATAATGAGCCGAGTTACTTATTCATAAAAGCAATCTACACATTTGTTCTCTAATAAAATAACATTGTCATGGCTTACTGGCAGTAAATTATTTGAAGGTATGCATTTGGAAGTAAACAGAGCCATATATGTGAAAAGATCCTCGATCATTTTCCACAAAGCATCTCCCTTTCCACCCTTGATCTGGGACAGTGCGCTGGGATCCGCAGTGGCAGCGCTCGTGTGTCCGTGCTGACCGGCTCCTTCCTTCGTGTCGCGGTGGTGCCTGGCCCACAGGCGGGAATGTCGCCGCCTTCCCAGGATGCTGGTCATGACCCGTGTGGCCAGCGCGGCTCCCGGGGGCTGCCCACAGCCACCCTGCCCGCTCGCTCTGCTACTGCTGCAGGGCTGCGCGTCCAGGCACCTGCCTTGTATGTGTCCTGTGGGGTGCCCTGCAGGGCCCTGGTTTTGAGGCTGTGATAGCACCAGCTTAAATTGCAAGACCTTGAACAGTTTTTTAATTAGTTTTTAATTACTCAGCAGGTGCCTGCATTCTCCCCAGTGCTGGTACTTTTTCCTGGGCAAGGAGCTGGAAGGGCAGCAAGCTGCCCGCTGTGTGACTGCTCCCTGGCAGAAGCACACGGCAGCAGCTTGCTCGCCGTCCAACGGCCCCGCTCCGGCCACACGGCACCTCTGCACGATGCCTTGGGCAGCTCAAAACCTGTCCCATGTCTCCTTCCATCGTTCATTTTAGGACACCTTGGCATTCTTTAGGACCACAAATCTGGGAATGTGGCGCGGAGTCTGGAAAACAAGCTGGCACTTTGTCCTTATCCCCGCAGCGTGCCGGAGTTCGGGCGGCCTGTGCCAGGACACGCACCTTTGTCCTCTGCAGCTTGCGATTCATGCCCGGTTTTAAAACCTTGGCCGAGATGCGTGAGCCCATAAGAACAAGTCATGGCAATTTGTCTCAAACTCCCTGGCTCTTCTGGTTCCCCATCCATAATGTTTATTCCTGCTAATTGCTCGTCATGGCAGATAAATCTCAACGTGCAGCCAACGCAGCGGCGCTGCCCCTGAGCAGTAGCAGTAGCTGGCTGGGCTTTGCGTATGTTGCCGGCATGTTGCCTTTCCTCTATACGTTACAGCAGCCGCCTGCTTTGGCTTTGTGGGACGAGTCTGCTGCAGAGAATAGGCAGATCTGTGGGCTTCCATGCTTGAATACTAGGAAAAGTAACGGCCGTGAAAGCAAGTTTTCCATAATGCTATTTATAATCCTCATAATGAATACCGTGTCCTGGGATGTCCACAGATGTCTTGTCATTTTGCTTCAGCTCCGTGAGCTGTGGGCATCGATTATCCACCCATGCCGGTAGTCAGGGAGCAGGCGGCTCCTCTGGTTGGAGGGAACTCGGAGCAAGCGCGCGGCCCTGGCTCGGGAGGCAGGGCCACCTGGCGCCGCTGCCGCCCCGCGTCGGGCCGCAGCCCCTGTGCTGGCACCGAGGTGCGCTCACGTGATCCAGGCTGAAAAATAATGCCTGGAATTACCTTTTCCGTACATATGCTTTTTTAAAGCCAGCTCACCTCAGTGATCTGCTAGGCATTCGTAATGTGGCTGTATGGCTAGTTGCTGTCTGCTCGGTAAGTGGAATCATGTCCCAGCAGATGGAAGTGGCCGAGGACAGCAACATAGAAACCAGCTGCCTCCTGAGACGCGTGTCCCCCAGACCCACTTGCTTCATTAGCTGAAGTAAATGTGCAATAATTGTTTAACTATGTGTTAAGGAGAACATTACCAATGTTATGGCTATGGCATACACCTCTTTGTGCTCCGTACCTCTTTATTAGACTATGAAGTATCTTGAAGTGAGCTTATCCACGTCAGTCACAGCGGACAGAATTGCACCTGCATTGCCAGATCCTTCCACGGAGGCCCTCATTGCTAGTAGTGCTGGCTGCCTACTGGTCTCTTCCAGTTCTAGCATATTAGCAAAGCCGGAGGTTTATGTGTACTGATAAATAAGCTGTCTGATGAGGTGAGCTGTTTATTAAAATATGCATTAATCATCCAGGTGCTTACGGGAAGCCAGCAAAATGTCCATACAAATCATCATATTCCTTTGGATGTTACATAAGTCGCAAGAGAGGATGGCTCGTGTGAACTCTGGAGTGGCTCAGAGTGGTATTTTCTTTTGAACAGGCTAACTAACTATCAGACTTGTAATAAGACAGAGATGTAGAAATATATTTTAAGGTGTGTTGAAAACAAGCCCTACTTATGAGGATCCTTTAGAAATATCATCCCTTAGAAAATGAATCGTCTGTATTGTGAAAAAGACATTATCTTCCACCTGCAGCTGTGCCTCATAGGATCCCTTATCATGTTGGTGTAGCACCCTGTTGCAGTACGCCTTGACCGTGCATCTACAAAATATCATCGTGGCATAGGGTACTTTGTTTTAGATACTGAAGGCAGAGAAATGTGACAGCAACCACCAAAATACTTTTCTGTCTAGTAGCAGTGGGATAGATTAAAAGAGCATTGCTGAAACAGTGCCAATAACTGAAAGAAATCAGAATGACCTTTATAATAATATCTTTTTAATGTGAGCTAACTCTTGAATATGTTTCACCTGTTTTATTTATTTTTATTATTATATATTTTTTTATTTTTGTAGGCTGTGGAAACCAACCTTGCTTCAAAGGATAGTCACTGGGTCTATGTAAATGAGGTAAGAATGCCAAAAGAGATGAGATAGCTTGGTGCCTTCATTCATCATCATCTTTTGTTCCATGTATGCCAAGCCCAAGCAGTGTTTGATACACCAGCCTTACCATCTTTGCTTTCTGAGTGGTACCTGTTGCAAGCTCTGTGGCATCATTGCTCATCTGTCTTATTTGACTTGGCATAGGCTGAATACCCAAGGCCAAAGTAAAGCTTCCAGTGTACCTGTGAGCAGCTGCGAGACTATTTTCTCTCTTTGCTGTCGACCTCATCCCATTAGCTTCTTAGTAAGAGAATATTGCAAAAGAAACCTGGAGTAAATGCATGCATCTGAGTGACAGGAAGGAGCGCGGAGGCCCCTTGGAGGTCTCTCTTGTTACAATAGACATTTACATGGTGTAAGATTTTCCTTTAGTGCAGGTTTGTGTTGGTGTCTTGGCCAATATCCAGGATAGCACGGAAATAAAATGTGAGTTTTGCTTTGTGCAGCAAATGTTAGCCTCTCCTGCTACTGTGGTTATTTATTTTACCTGAGTATTGAGATGCCTTATTGGGAATCAGAGCTGACTCGTATCCAAAAAGATGGGAAAAACTTGAAATGTTGTACCGTACATAATCATTTATAAATCATTGGTTATTCAGGAAAAATAGCACTATCTTGCATACCTCTGTTTTTAATAATGAATTGTTAAAGAATAGTAAAATAGGTAACTTAGAGCTAACCCTATTCACTGTTTCATATTTATATTTTAAACACATAACCTCTAATTTAACAACCACCTCCTTTGTTAACTTCTCATTGCTTTCTTTGCACCTAGATAGTAATGTTGGATAGACTATTTTAATAATACCTATAAATTGCGTTGTGTGGCATTAGAAACACTGTAATTAAATAGAAGGATGGAGAAAGGGAGTTAACTCTCTGCTTATAAAAACTGTGTAAATCCTTTCTACCCTTGTTACCTTTATGCACTATCTGATCTGTCAGCTGCAGTAATGACCCAGCACAAAACATCAGCAATATGAAAGTCAGTATTTATGGTCACAAAAAGATAATACAGGGCATATTGCCCTAAGCATTTATGGAGAGGGTCTGCTTGTGAATTTGTTACTACTGTTGTTACTGTTCAGATGCTAAAATTCACTTCATGACGCCTGAGTCTGAAATATCCCAAGTAAAAAATCTGCAGTGCCTGTGCAGAAGCGTGTCCATACATACAAATCCACATCAGAAAAAGTGCCCATATGCTCTTATTCTTGGAGACTTCCTTTTTCCTCTCTCTGTTACTAGAGACTGGGTAGATAGCGACAAGAACAAAGAGTGACTCGAAAGTATGAGTTCTTCACAAGACAAGGCAAAATGAAATTGTCCCTACTACCTAAAAATGTATTGAGGCCTTGTTGCTACAGGCATATAGCAGAAATACTCTTTCTTGGTTAATATTAATGCAAAAATGAGCAAATACCCCAAATACCCCTGCAGTTGAGTTGAAATAGACAATTGCAGGCATTTCAAATATGTTTATTTTATAGTTCCTCTGCCCCATACTGCAGGATAAATGTTAAATTTCAGAGTTGAAAATAAATCCATCAGCTGAACTTTGTTAAGGAGCCAGCACCAGGAAGCTTGTGCTGAGCTGTCCCGCAGCCGCAGGGCTGGCGAGTTGGCCGCGCTGGCAGCGAGCAGACGCGGCATCGCGGGGCAGGAGGGACACCCGAGCGCAGCTGCCAGGGTGCGAGGTGTGCCGGTTGCGGGCGGCTCGGGGCGCCCCTTGAGCCCGGCCGGGTGCAGAAGCAGGCCTGGCTGCGGGGAGGTGGTCTGCGGGGTGAGGCGGCGGCGCTGCGATGCGGGCTTGGCGCGGTGGGAGCGCATCCTGTGACTCCTTGGAAGTCATCGTTTGACTTCTCAAAAAACAGAATGTTTGTGACGTTGTGTAAAAATATATCAAAAAAAAGAGAGGAAAGAACAAAGGACAAAAAAAAAGACCGTTCCTTACTTAACTGTGTCTTATGATTTGCCAAGACCTTTGATTACCATTGCCTGTGCTGGAAGTCACCAAAGATGACCAATTGTGACCCGAACGAGGGTCTGTCAGAATGTCTGTGGTGCTGTTCACAGCCTTGTCATTTGTGCCCTTGAGTTTCGATGCCGCTGCCTACCAGCCCTGGTAGCCCCGTGCCTCTTCTCCTCGCGGCGTCACTGCCACAGTTGCAGGTGCCCTCCTTTTTTTCCTGTGTATTTGTATCTTGTCTTTTCTTCTGCTTTCCCTTTCTAGTTCTCTTTTTCTCTACTTGCCTTTCTTTCCCTTTGGTGCCTGACATCAGGCATTTTTGTTAGTTTCTCCTGACATTCTCCATTCCCCCCTTCCATCCTTTTGTGTGTTCACAGACAAATCCGCAGAGTGCCCAGAGATTCCTCTGTGGGACAGGCCAAAGAGGAGCGCTTGAAACCGGATCTGTGGGGGGTCTTGCACTAGGAGCAGTGCTCTGGGGGCCTGTCCGCTCTTTTATGGTCAGCTGTAGTAGGTCTGGGCCTATAAATAGAACCACAAACTGTATTTCTGATTTTGGGGGAAATTTCATGGGTTTGAAATTTTCTCCATTCCAAATGGAGAGAGAGATAAGGAAAATGTTCTGCAGATTGGACTTCTGACTGGAAAAAATCCTTCCGTTTAAACACAAAGCTTTTTACTGCTATAAAACGCATTTTATACTGATGTACACTGATATATTTAATTCAGACTTTTTAAACTTTCATTATTTTTGTATGTTAATCAGTTAAATACCCCCAAAATAATCAGTGTTCCTCGTTGAATAATGGAGTAGGTTCTCAATTCAGTAACTGCAATGGATTGTTTCACCATTATCAGACACATCCTTTCATTGCCTTTGCAGCCATCATCACTTTTCACACTGATAGTGCACAAGGCTCTCGGTTAGGTGGGAGAGAACTTTTCATGGAGGACAAGTATGGATGAAGGGGAGACACGTAGGGCTGCTTATACAAACTATGTGCTTGTTCCAAAGCTAAGGATAGGTGCAGGGAACATTTGTGGAACATCTGTGAGGAAATAGCAAAGGATGGATGCTGTGGAGAAAGGTTTTGAGCATGTGCAGAAGTGCCCAGAGAACACGAGTTGTGTATTAATGGAGAACTTTCTTTGCCATTTGAGCTGAAAAAGTAATGGTGGGACCAAGGACAAGACTTAACGGTTTCCTCTGATGGGTGATGTTAGAGTTGCATCTATAAGAAATCCAGCAAGTAGTCAGATCAGATTTGATTATAGGTAGGAAATAATAGGTTAGGAATAATGTCAGAAAATAATTTGTGTGAAAGTGATGATGAACTTGTAGAATTCACTGTTACAACAGAGGAAGGAGTGAGGAGAGCAAGGATAATGGGCTTAAATAAAGAAACTCTCCAAGCTCATAAGCTTGAGGAAACTAGCAAAGCTTTAGGGAAGATACAGGAGAAATAAAGGATGATAAAAGAACTGACAGTTCCTTGAGGGGGAAGAAAAGCTTATTTTAAAGCACAGTAGCAAATTATGCCTATGTGAAGAGAAAGCATAAAGTGTATCATCACATATGCATAGGGATATCTTCATAGATCTTGAAATCGAAGAGCGATTCTACAAAAACATGGAGGAAAGGGTCAGGTAATTACCGAGGAGCATGAAGAGGAAAAAAGAAAAGTGAATGATTATGAAATGAAGCTGAAGTGCAAAATGAGTCATGCCAGTGACATGAAAAGCAACAAGAAAAGATTAGATCTAGCAGAAGGTAAGGATAGTGTAAGGCTATTGGTAAATGAAAAAAGCAAGTGCAGTTTCAATGTTTTTACTAACTTCTAGCATTATAGAAAGGGTTAATGGACTGTTAAAAACTCAGCTCCTTTAGTTTGAGATTATTTTGGTAAGTCTGAGGAGGCGCGGAGTCCTTAGTATTCAATACAGAGGAGTGCAGAGTGCTCAGGTGCGGCTACAGAGCAAGGAGCAGCAGCTAGTGAGCATTTGTAGGAGCAACTTGTTGTCATCAGCGATAACAAACAGAATACGAATCACTGCTGTGGTGCACTTGCAAGAAAACCTGCTCCTCAGAGGTGTTAATGGAAACATCCTTGTAAGATAAAGATGGCTTTGCTGTGCTTGATACCAGCATGGCCTTGCTGCAAGAGTGTTGCAAGTTTTAGGCAAGGCACTTGAAAAGGAGGGTGCAAATCAATTCCTAAATCTGGAGGAGAGCAAGTAGCATGATCTGAGTTGGATAAAATGGTGGCGTCTGAGGAAAAGTTAAAGGCATTGGATTTGTCCCCTTTGAAATAGGGAGATGAAGCAAGAGTGGTGTGTTAGAACATATATTATGTTCTAAATGTGAAGAGGAATGTGATCTCATGTTCACTCTGGAAAGATAAGGAGAAAGCAATTTAATTTTCAACAGCAAGAATTAGATTGAGTATCAGGAAATATTTGATAATCTAAATATGGTAATGAATAGGAACAACTTCCTTGGGTGCTCTCTTCCATCTCATCACCTCTCTCAGCTTAACATCTGCTGCTGCTGCCGCTTCTCTCCCCGCTGCCCCCCTTCCAGCATCCTACTCGCACTATTTAAGTCTGCTAAACATTTTCAGATCTCAGTTTGAAAAGAGAATTGCAAGTGTATTATGAATGCTGCTGGAGCTGGTGGTATTGCTTTTATGATCTGCACCTTCTGTTCTAGTTTTTTTTTCATATATCTCTTTTCAATATGTGTTTGACAGTGAAAGTTTATACAAATAGTCACTGCATAGACTTGTGTTCAAATTATTTACTTAATTTCTTTGCTGACAAACATGAGGTTTATGGGAACTGTGTCTCATGTTTGATTTCCAGTCACCTTAGAAATTCATCCTTGTGGTTCTACTACTGAGCAAACTGGAGTGAGTGCATTTGATTAGATGCTGTCAGCCAAATCCATCTTTGGGGTAGCTTCAGTGATTTGTTTTAGCCAGGGATGAATTTAACA